TGACTGCTCTTGCAGAAGATCCAGGTTCAAATCCCAGCACCCACATGGCAGCTAACGACTGTCTGTAACTCCAGTGTCAGGGGATCCAACAGCTTCTTCTGTCCTCCAAGGGTGCACTGCATGACATGGGTGCACTTACCTACATGCAGGCAATACATGCATACACATAAAATGAAAATAATAAAATATTTTTTAAAAAATTAAATAAAAAAAAGTTACTTCTAAAAGTTGAGCATGGTGGCACACTCCTTTAATCCAAACACTCAGGAAGCAGGGAGAGCTCTGTATAATCGAGGCCAGCCTGGTCCACAAAACAAGTTTCAGGCCAACTGGGGTAACACAGGGAGACCTTGACTCAAAAAAAAAGTCACCTCTAAGGAGACTGAAGATGTAACTCAATTGGTAGAGTCCTTGCCTGGCACACACACAAAGCCCTGGGTTTTATGGCCAGAAATTGGGTGTGGTGGTGCCTACCTAGAGGTGGAGGCAAGATCAGGAGTTGTGGGAGAGACTTGAGTCTAGGGTGATATTGCAACTGTCAGCATCCACGTGGTTTCCAGGAATCCAGGCTCTGTAATCTAAAACCCAGTATGCTAATGAGGCATCCTACCCGCTATTCTGTGATAGGACATTAAGTCTGTTATGCTAATAGGATGCTTAGTCTGTTATGCTAATAAGGTATCCTACTTGCTGTACTGTGATAGGACACTAAACCTGTTATGCTAATAAGGTATCCTACTTGCTGTGCTGTGATTGGACCACTACCCCTATATAAGCTTGTGACTTCCTGCAATAAAGCAGATTTGTGTCACTGAACCTGGTCTCCTGTGTCTGAATGGGGCTCTGCTGACACAGTCTCCTCACCATCCCTGTCCAGAAGCAGCGACGATAGGAGGCAGCACAGGGCAAGCAAAAGAGCTGCCTCAGCACCAGGCGAGCAGAAGTGCAGCCTCAGCCCAGGGTGAGCAGCCTCATCACCCATGAGAACGAAGGAGTGGCACCCACGAGAACGGAGGAGCAGCCGCCACTGGCAGTGACCGCAAGTAGTATGGTGACATACCAAGTTCAAGTCTAGGCTGAGATCCTGAACTAAAAAAAACAAAAAAGTTACCTCTAAGAAGACTTTCTACTTGGCAGAGGCTGCTGCAGCACAGGAAGAGCAAGTGAGTTGGGCATTTCCAATTCTGGTGCAGGAGTGGTCCCAGCTTCACTTCAGGCAGGCCTCAAAGAGAACACAGAAACATTTTAGTTGGGGGTTAGAAAATGAAGAACTACACTCTGGCCTAGGGCAGTGGGGAGCCCCTCTTGGGAGTCTTAGGGAGAGGATTAGGTGAGTCCACAAGACCAATGAGGGTACAGGCTCAAGAAGACAAGCTCTAGTCCCTTCATCAGGGAGGAGTGGGAGTCTGTCCTATAATTCACTTTATACTAGATTGAGTCCAGGGCTTTTGGCAGTGGTTACACTGCAGAGATGAGAGGCGGTGCTCAGGCCTGCAGGATACTCTTCTGTGAAGCCAAATGCAGAGCCCTCTTGCCCCCACTGGTACACGCCTTTTCTGAGTCTCAGCAATGCATGCTGAGCTTCAAAAACGCATGCTTATCCTTAATTCTTCTTTTCTATGACATGAAGTCTTCTAGAGACATATTCATGTCATAGTGTGGCCACCTCTCACCTATAAGATGTGATCAAATTTCATTTTTCCTTTCTGTGCATTTTTGTTCAACAAATACTATTCTCCTTTGCCCTGAAAGAAAACTGAGATGTCAAGGACACTTCTGCTCACTCTGGAAAAAAGCATACCCAGGCTCAGGTCAAGTAAAAAAAGAAGCTGAAATCCAACATATCCATCAACACTGCAACTTGCTATATGATGAACTTTACTGAAGCATATATATAAGAAACCACATCCATTTAAAGTGCCCAAGTCAGGAAGGTCTGGCAAACTATACCTATAAGGCAACCACTACACCAAAAAGGACATCTGCATCCCAGTCTTCTTTGAGCCCTTCTCCCTTAACCCACAGACCCAGGAATCTGAGCTGGGCTTGTCACTGCAAAGCAGTCTGCAATTTCTATAGTTTCCTATAAATAGAACATATAGTACAAATGGTTCCTTTCACTGAGCACCAAGGATCTTTAGATGTAATGTTATGTGTGCTGTTCTTTTAACTAAATGGTAGTTATGTGACTATACCTCATTTCCTTTATTTATCAACTGTGGACAAGTCCCTGAGCTGATTCTAGTTTTTGGAAACTATAGGCCCTTGAGCACGTATTTGTGTGGACATGTGTTTTCATTTCTCATAGTTGAATTCCAAGGATTAGAATGGCTGGATCAGAAAGGTGACTGTTTACTCTGTCAAACTGTTTTCCACATTGTGATGTCCTTTGCTTTCCCACCAACAGAGCACAACAGCTCTGCTTTGCATCCTCACCAACATCTGGTAATGTATGGGTGGGCATATAGCAGCATCTCATTATAATGAGTATTTCCCTGACTAGACAATGGTTGGCATCTTTTCATGTTGTCAGCCACATATATCTTATTGAAGTATCTTTTCGCATCTTTTGCCTGTTTTAATTAGGTTGTCTTCTGGTTACTGAGATGTGGCAGTTATTTATTATATTTTATTTTTTTATCTTTTTGAGACAGGGTCTCCCTGAAGCCCCAGCTGTACTGGAACTATGTAGACCAGGCTGGCCTTGATCTCACAGATATCCACCTCCCTCTACCTCCCCAGTGCTGAGACTAAAGGCATGCACCACCATGCCTGGCTTATATACCACCACACCTAGCTTATTTATTTTTATATGTATGAGTGTTTTGCCTGTATAAATGTAAGTACACCATGTATGCAATGCTAATGGAGGCCAGAAAAGGGTGTCAGATCCTCTAGAACTGGAGGTATGGACAGATGTAAGCCTTGATGTGGGTGCTGGGAATTGAGGCAGCCAGTGCTCTTAAATGCAGAGTTACCTCTCTTTTTTTTTAATCTATTTATTTACTCTGTGGGTGTGTGTGTTTGTGCACTCTATGATGCACATGCCATAGCATGTGTCTGGAAGAGAACAGCAGTCAGTTCTCTCCTTCCACCATGTGAGTTCCAAGGCTCCAAACTCAGGTCATTAGCCTTGGTGGTCAGCCCCTTTACGCTCCGAGCCATCTAGGTGGCCTAGCAGTTATTTATGTATATGCAATTTAAAATTTATATATATATATACACACACACATACTACAGCATGTATGGAGGTCAGAGGACAATTTGTGGGAGTCAGTTCTCTCCCTTCACCATGTGGGTCCTGAGGATTGAACTCAGATTGTCAAGCTTGGGGGCAAGTGCCTACCCACTGAACCACCTCACAGGTCCCTATATATTATATCTTTAAAAAATATTTAGATTCGGGGCTGGAAAGATGGCTCAGCGGTTAAGAACACTGGTTGTTCTTGCAGAAGACCCGGGTTGGAATCCCAGCACCCACATGGCAGCTAACAACTGTCCATAACTCCAGTCCCAGGGGATCTGACAGCCTCCTCTGACCTCTGTGGGCATTGCATGATACAGGTGCACTTACCTACATGCAGGCAATACACACATACACATAAAATTAAAACATAAATAAAATTTTTGTAAAAAGCTGTTGACTCCCTGGGTGTGCGTGCCTCAGGGACAAAGGGCAGGACCCTGTGCTCATGTAGTCCCAGCACTCCAGAGGCAGAGACAGGCAGGTCTCTGAGAATGATTCCGACCTCGTCTACAACAGGTAGTTTGAGGCCATATAGGGCTACAGGGAAACCCTATCTCAAAAAACCAAAAACGAAAGAACCAAAACACGGGGTGGGGGGAAAGCAAGCAAGCAACACACACACACCTGAAAGGGACAAAGTTTTGTTTTGTTTTGTTTTTAACTTTACCTGGTCTCTCTCTTTCTCTGATTTTTTGAGCCTATCTCTAGGAAATAACCGGTCCCCCCCCCCGAAAAAATCTCTATTTTTTAAGATACAGTGTCTCATTACGTAGCCCGAGCTGATGTGGAACACACTGTGTACCCCAGGCTGGCTTCGAAGTCAAACAGATCTGCCTGCCTCTGCCTCCTCAGCGGCAGGATTAAACATGTGCACCACCATGTCCCACAATGTGGTCTCATTTTAGGATTGCCTCTAAGCAGCTTGGCTGGTGGCAGTCTTGCCTTTTTATGTCCAACTAGACTGGGTTCCCCCTGGGAAAATGAATGTTTTTAGCCTTCTCCTAAGTCCAACTCCTAACTAATCCAAGCTGGGAGTTTTGGCACACACCCATAATCCCAACATTTAGGAGGCAGAGGAAAATCTAGTTGAAGGCCAACCTAGGTTACATAAGATCTTGTGCCAAACATAAAACAACCGAGAATGAGAGGAAGGAAAAAGGGAGGGAAGTAAGGAAGAAAGCAAGGAAGGAGGAAGGGAGGGAGGGAGGAAGAAAAAGAAAAGAAAAAAAAATTTGAAGTCACATGGAAGAAGTTAGGGTAGGGTTCTTGTAGATTAAAAATTGTTTACTGGCCGGGCGTGGTGGCGCACACCTTTGATCCCAGCACCCAGGAGGCAGAGGCAGGTGGATCTCTGTGAGTTCAAGGCCAGCCTAGTCTATATAGTGAGTTCCAGGACAGCTGGGGCTATAGGGAGACCCTGTCTCAAAAAGACCAAAAAAAAAAAAAAAAAATTGTTTACTGCAGGTGTGTGAGATGGCTCAGCAGGTAAAGGCACCTGCCCCTAAGCCTAATAATCTGATTTTTAGTCCCCAGACCCACATAGCAGGAGAGAAGTGATTCCACAAGTGTGTCCACACACACACACACACACAATAAGTGTTTAAAAAATTTTAAGTAAAACAACCAGGCATGGTGGCACACATCTTTCATTGGAAGGCAGAAACAGGCGGATTGCTGTGAGATAGAGGCCAGCCTGGTCTACATAGTGAGTACCAGGCCAGTTGAGGCCTGTCTCAAAAAGAAAAAAAAAAATGGTACCAGACTGAAACTAGATGAGCAGTAAGGTGGTAGAGCCTTGCATGCTCGGGGTTTGCTCCTTAGCACCTCAACATACACACACACACAGACAAGATTTATACTTAGCTGGGTGTGGTGGTGCACATCTGTAATTTTATCACTCAAGAGGCTGAGGCAGGAGGAACAAGTTCAAGGCTAGCCTGGGCTACAGGAGATCTGTTTTCAAAAAGCTAACAAAAATAAGTGAGAGAAAATAAAACCTGGACCAGTGGGTAAAGGTGCCTGATAGCAAGCCTGACCTGGGACCCACTTGGAGGGAAGTGAGAACTGGTTCTTGCAAATTGTCCTCTGACCTCCCCCACACAAACCATAGTGTGCATGTGCGCTTTCTCAATCTCTCTCTCTCTCTCTCTCTCTCTCTCTCTCTCTCTCTCTCTCTCTCTCTCCTCTCAAATAAATAAAATGTAGAATTGAAAAAAAAAGTCGGGTGTAGTGGCACACACCTTTAATCCCAGCACTCGGGAGGCAGAGGCAGGTGGATCTCTGGGAGTTTGGGGCTAGCCTGGGCTACATAGTGAGACCTTGTCTCAAGAAGACAAAAGAAACACAAATAAAAACCATGAACCCTCCCCCCCCAGAAAACAACAAAGCAAAACAAACAAAAAAGACCAAACAAGGTGAAGACCACGGTGGACCAGGATGTGCCTAGCATGTACCCTGGCACAGCCTAGGTCCCCAGTCAAGTTGGTTAAATGAATAAATGGGGTAGGGAACAACAATGGACCTAACAGAGCCTGGGAACTGGAGATGAGCCAGGGCCAGCCTGGGCTACATGAGACTCTGCCTCACCACCACTCACTGCAAACAATAAAGTAGCTCCAGCTGGCCTGGATTCACTATGGAGACCAGGTTGGCCTCAAACTCACAGATATCTGCCTGCCTCTGCCTCCTGAGTGCTGGGATCAAAAGCATGTGCCACCACACCTGGCCTAGATTTATTTTTATATTATGTGTATGAGCATTTTGCCTGCATGCATGTCTGTGTACTGCAGTCACTCTAGCAAGTACTCTTAACCATTAAGTCATCTTTCCAGCCCCCTATATATTCTTTTTTGTTCTGTGTCTATGGTGTATGTACATGTTTATAAGTGTGTGTGCACATGTGTAGGCCAGAGGTCAATGTCAGGTATCTTCCTTAATCCCTCTCTACCTTATTTCGGTGTGTTTGTGTGGCAGAT